GGTGACTTCCGCGAAGCCGTTCCAATCAGCTTTGTTGAAGTTGGTATAGGTTCGGTGGTCCGCGGGAGCAAAGTCGGTGGGCTTATTGATCGAGATGACTATGGGTAGATGGTCTGATGCTAGTGTTAGCATAGGTCGCCATGAGATGCTATTCATCAAACCAGCGCTAGCAATTGTTAGGTCTGGCGAGCTGCTGCAGCTACCCATAATCCTGGTGGGGGCGTCGTCGTTCATGGTGCAGAATGTCGAATCGTCTATCTGCTCAGCCAAAAGGTTTCGCCTACGATCATTGGCCAGGCTTGAGTGCCATAGATCGTGGTGCGCGTTGAAGTCACCTACTACCATTCGGTTTTCACATCTGAGTAGCGCACCTATGTCAGGGTGATATCCTGCCGGGCAGCAGGTGACAGGGGGTATATAAACATAAAACTCTCTCGCAATGCTAGCTTTTGTTAGACGACATTGTTCGCAATTTTCTGACCCGTACGCACTTAAGGGCCGCACAGTGCCGCGAAGGTGGACAAAAATACAAAAATCGACTGTCTTGAAACTTAGATGTTTTGATGTCAAGTTAAAGCTAAATCTCCAACTAAGAGAAGTTCATAAGTTATTTTGTGATAAAAACAACTTTCAGCCTCACACACCCCCTCAAAGTACACCTATTTTCTACATACCATTTCATTTCGGCGATTCGCACATAAAAGTGGTCGCAGTTAAAAATTTGTTAAAAATACATTTTTATTCCTAGCAAGATCAACTTTTGCACTTTGATAAAGATATATGCGACAAACCAAAAAATGTATGGTTCATGGAAAAAAAATTTATACAAATATTTTTTTTTTATTAATAAATAAATATATGATTAAACATACCAAAATCCGAAAATTGGTAAACTTTGGAGACAAAAACAAAAAAACATCTTGAAAGTTCGTGAAATTTTTTTTTTGGTTATGGTAGTTTGGACCTTCTACTAACAGAAACAATCGAAATCTCTTCCAACTTTTTCCAATATTTGAAAATTTTCAATTTTTAAAAAGTGACTAAATGCCTTTTTTTGGTATTATTTTAGCTGATCTATATTTACAATACTTTTTCTGAATGCCCTAAGATCTAAATTTTTGGTTCGCTTTTCAAAAATAAGGTGTTGAATTAAAGCTAAAAGTGCAAAAAAAAAAAATTAAGAGGTACAGGGTGCTTTGAAATGAAAAAAATTATCAGCTAATTAAAATACTTAAATATGCATCACGGTATGGGAGCCAAAAACAAAGGTATACGAAGATTTACATATATATATATATACATATATATATATATATAGAGCAATGACACCAGTTTACAAATAATATGTTAACCAATTCGGGTAAGGAAATAAATGCAATCGAGACACCTTACAGCGCCCAATGATTAGACGAAAGGCGAACAAAAAGAAAATAAAAATAAATAACATACCTATTACTCTTCATCTGCATAAAGAGTACTATTTTGCTTAAGCAGCAAACAAAAACAGCTTGCGAAAATGATAGTACAAATGTATGCACATCAGGGAGGTCCAATTTTTTTTAAATATATTTTTTTTTGATTGAGTCTTTTTATAATTTTGTTCACCTAACTAATTACATTACCTGTGCAAAAATTTCAACGTTTTACTATTAGTGGAAAATGTTGCTCAACGCGAGTTTAAAATTTCATGAATTTTTCTCTGGTGCTAAGAGTCCTCTCTTGTGGAAAACAAATAAAAACCCAAGAGTTTAGTGTTTTGTTGAACGAAACAAGAGAGTTATACCTTAGAAATTATGGTTGGTATAACATGCCAAGTTCAGTGCATAAAGTTTTAGTACATGGATGTGATGTAATAAATACTTTGATTTACCAATAGGTAATGATTTTAAAGCTATGTTTTCATTTATTTTCTTAATCTGTATTTCCACCTATTTTATCAGGTTCATTATCAGAAGAAGCCTTAGAATGTTCACACAAAAACATAAGAAAATATCGGCTTAATCATTCTCGAAAAACTGGAAGAGTACAAAGCAATACGGATTTAATGACTCGTTTGATATTATCGTCAGATCCATGAGTTGCATTTAAAAGAAATATAAAACAGAGAAACAAATATTTAAAGGGTTCTGATCTCAGCTTTAATAAATACATTGTTGAAAGTGACGAAGCAGACAAAAGCATGGAATCATTGAATCAGTGATCACTTCCTCCTCTTCTGAGGACACTGAAACTGAGTGATTATAACAACTAGTTCGGTTTTTATTAACATATTATATGTTATTACCATATAACAGTTATTATTACTTACTTACTTAACAGTGATTATGCTTTATTTTAAATGAAATCAAAAGAATTTTTTTTTCTAAAGGTTAACATGTAAGGAAAACCGACTTAATTTTTCAAATTACCATAATGTATTCACTTAGGAAGTAAAGTTTAGACGAATTTTGACTATTAAGACTATTTTTCTGAACACTTAGCAACAATGATATGCCATATTTCATTTTTAAATAATCATGTGCAAAAACTCGGTGTTTTTTAATGGGTACCCGTTACAAAAAAACCGATTACTTTCTTAAAATTAGAGTAATATAGACACTTCAGATGTAAAGTTTCAATAAATTCTGACGACTCCTTCCGGTTTTCGTAAACACCACAATCAGCAATGATTATGCCTCATTTGTCTTTCATATAGTAATGTAAAAAAAAAATCTTTTTTTTTAATGGGTACCCGGTACCGAAAAATCGATTTCATTTTTGAAATAAGCATGGCTTAGTCCTTTTAGGTGTAAAGTTTCAACAAGTTCTGAATACTATTTCGGTTTTTATAAACATATGTCTACGATGATTATGAGTTATTTTACCTTTTTATAAAATTGTAAAAAAAAATTTTTTTTAATTAAATGGTAACAGATGCTGAAAAACGTTTTTTTTTTTCTTAAATTGCGGTGATATAGTCCTTTCAGGTGTAAAGTTTCAGCCCATTCTGATGCCTCCTTCCACTTATATCAACACATGTCCACAATGACTATTTTCATATAAAAATGCAAGAAAAACTCGGTTTTCTCGAAATGAGTAACCGGTACAGAAAAACCGATTTCATTTTTGAAATTAGAGGGGCATAATACTTCTAGGTGTGAAGTTTCAGCCAATTCTGACCACTCCTTCTATTTTTGTCCATCATTTGTATGGAGTCGCGGCACTGTGGGCCGGTTGCTCAAAGCCTGATTGACACTAATCACCGATTAACATCGTTATCGACGTTTTCGGCTCCATGCAAATAACATGGTGTCGGTAACGTCGATAACGATGTTTAACCGGGGATTAGTGTCAACCAGGCTTTGAGCAACCGGCCCTAAGACTTTGTTCACTGCCTTTGTACGTTCTAAACTGGAATACGCCGCGTTTATCTGGTGACCGTATCACGCTATTCACTATGAGGTTTTATAGCTCATTCAATTTCAGTACAAAAAGTGAACGTTTGAAGTACCTCAAAATTTGCGATGCTTTTTGAGATTTTTTTTTGGTGGGAGGCGTTTCGCATTTCCATTCACACAAAATACTTATTTATGTTCCAAAATACTCGTATTTTTATATCGAAGAAAATGCATAACTTCGAACTTGAACCTTTTTATACTGGAATTAAATTGGCTTTAAAAATGCATGCCTTTTCTAAAAAATCTGATTAAAAAATTTTAAATTTTGATAGCACGATTTTTTTATGAATTACGAATTAGCGGCAAATTACGATAATGTGAACATGCTTTATGAAATACTTTTTCTGTTCAAAATTTTAAAATTGTTTATATGAAAACCCCGAAAATGACGCTGTTTGAAAAAATTATGTTACCTTTTAACCGACTTCCAGAAAAGGAGAAGGTTATCAATTCGTCGGAATATTATTATTTTTTTTTATGTATGTTACCGCATAACTTTGGACCACGTAAACCGATTTCAATAATTCTTTTTCTATCGGAAAGGTAGTGTCTCACAGGTGGTCCCATACTAATTTCGTTTAGATCCGATAATTGAATCATGGAAAAATTAACGGTAATCCTAAATTTTCATATAAGAATTGAAGTCAGTTGTGTTTTTTGCTTAAAAATTACTTGTTTCTTTGTGTAGTTAATTTAACCTTATTTGACAAGTTGACCCAAGTTGACGAATCCTGAGGGAACTTTCATAATGGTGTACCTTATTTAATAGTTGTTTTAATAAGTAAACATAAACTTGATTTTTGATGCATATAGATATGTACGCTGGTGATCAAAAGTGAATGCATGTTAATTTTTGTTAAATATTTGCAATGTTTTTCAAGTGAATAATTTTTCTTTATACAGAATTTGGAAAAATTCAGAATTATAATAAAAAATGTGAACTTTTTAAGCCTGTGGTTTTGTTCACAAACTAGTTTCACTTCTACAGTGTGGCCTAAGCCCGTACATCAAGGATAAACTTCGCGGGCGACGATTTATGTACATCCAACCAACCAAATTCACTGCGAAAAAAATTCTTCGTAAGCAAAAGTATATATGTAAATCATGCCGAAAAATATTTTAAACCCCAATAAGGCATTTTTTGCCGACAACATTTTTTATTTTTTGGATTCACAAGGATGAATATTTAATTTTTTAAGCTGGTAAAGTTAGAAAGACGATATATTATTGCGAAATTTCCAGAATAAAATTTTAAAAGGACATTTTCAATACTTACCAGTACTTATGCACCAAAAAATTTTATCTGTTTAAATTCTGCATAATTTCCTATTTAACTTGATACCCATCCATATTCTCTAAGCACATTTCACTGAATTTTTTAAATAATTTTTGAATTACTGACGTCAGAGTGAAAAACTAAAAAGGCAATTTTACTATATTTGGCCCATGGTTTCGCGAATATATTGATTTTTGCGTGTAAAATTTATTCTAAGGATTTTTTAGTGACCCTCGTATTATATAAGTTCGTCTTGATTTTTATTGTTGTAAAATACTTTAGAGATATCTAAATTACATTTCAGAGGTGAAGCTATCTATATTGGGATCACTACTATTGTCATGCGTGACCTAAAGGAATGCTTAATAGATCTCTTGCGATCGAAGGGAATATCGATGGCAGAGCGAAGCACAACACAATCGACAGACAGAATATCACAAGCACATCATTTGGATATCGAAATAAGTGCAGGGCGAAGTGCTGCTAATTCATCTTTTGCAGGATATGCCGTTCCCAATTCTCAAGAGCTTGCTGCGGGGCCTATAATCCACTTTAATGAAAACCTTTCAATGGCACGAAAAGCGGATATGACAAATTTCCCATTGTGCTCTTCGAGAATTAAAGAGCTGGAAATAAGTTTAGAGAACGATGAAAGAGATTTAATATCTGTAGAAGATTGGAACGACTCGATGCCGAAGAAAACGATTAACAATAGTCAAGATTGTATAGACAAAGCGCTAACCGACCTAGAATTAAGTAAAAATACATCCGAAGATGTTAGCGACGGCGGAACTCTGCTTGATTCTTTTTGCACTCTTTGTACGTCGTCATTCAGTTATGCTAATTGCTATCCGTACAGTGAGGATTCCTTCTCTGGCTCAAATTTTGAATGCAATTCATTGACGAAATACAGCAGAAAGTATACAAAAGCATCAGAAAGGTAATCTTTATATTAGTTATAGTGCCATGGATAAATTGATACAAGACTTTCTTAATTTGCGACTGAGAATGCCTTCTGCACTAGTTTTATGATTTAGCAGGGCAAGGGGGCTAGGAGCGATGAACTGCTCGAACACGAAAGGGCTAGCTACCACTCGGTACTTACAAAATGTAAAGCTTTAAATTCAAATAATTTTTGACTTTTCCAATACACGGGGTTTCCACTGAAGTTGCACTTTTGGAAAACTTTATAAAAAATTCTCCTTTTTGAGGTACTTTCACAAAAAAAAAGTTCTAGTATCATTTTATCCATGATAATATGTATATTACAATAATATGATAATATGTATATTATAGTACCGCATTGTTACCGTATTATTTTTATTGGTACCGTATATTATAATGGTGGCCCAAAAAAAAAAAATAACTTATTGGTACCGTATTGTCCCGTACCGTATTGGTACCGTATTATTTTTATTGGTACCGTAGTATCGCATCCAATTATTTACAATAAAAAAAGTTTTTTTTTTCTAAAAAACTTCCACAATGTGTGAAATTAAATTCTCTACAAATTTGTATTAAACCATTTTTGACTAAAAATGCAAATCCCAAATAACTTAAAGTCCTAAAATCCAAGATGGCGGAATGTTGCTATATGAAATTTAAGGGCAAATTTATTTGAGAAAAAGTCTAATTTTACTGAGCTATACTGTTTATGACTATTATTTATATGCTGTAGTTCAAATTGCAGTTTTTGCAAAGGAGGCCCTTCGATACCGCCTATGACAACGCAATTTTAAATTCGCCAGATTTTGTCGGGTTATGTAACTACTTTTGAATGGGAAGCATTTTTGCAGGGCTTCTATCGAACTTAATTTTTTCTACGACTTTCCCGCCATTTAGGTAGTCCGTCGTTTTAACCCTGATGATGCCTGATGAAACGTTTGGTGGCGTGCAAGAATACCATACGCAATAAGGCCTTATGGTCTTATTTCCATTTTGTTTGAGTAATAAAGGCATTATTGAAATTACAACTGCTTCAACTAAAAATGCATGTCTGGCCGCACTGGATCATTTGGATCACACATTTTTTTCCATTAATTGACCGTGAACGCGTTTCTTAATTATTCAGTCCGGATCTAGAAGAGAATAGTCGTGCCCCATATTATCCGGGAACAACGTTCTAATGAATAAGTGAACAGAAAAATGTATTTTCGACGTGTGTTAACATTGTTACGGTATTTTTCCAGTTTACGGACACTTGGGAAATCCCAAGTAATCATAAAATTATTTCGTCAAAAGGGGCGCTCAAATAGATGCATTTTAAGACCCCAGTATTCCGAATTCGGGAACGGAAATTAACTTTTTTAATATTTCAAAAGTTATCCGTGGAAATACATTCCGAACATAATTTATGATGTGATGCCAGATCACTTCTAAATCATAAAAACTAACCTTTCTTAAGAACTATTTTGAGTACAAAATAATCTTAAACCGATATACAATATCGATATAGTATCGATATTTTTTGGTCGATATATCGATCAGCCGATATTTTTTGGTTAATATCGATATCACCAATGTCGATGATTTTATGAGCGATATTGCATCCTTATACGTATGATACTGAATTATTTAAATCGATACAAATTATTTTCGTGCATTTCCGCTGTAGCGTATGTAGTGCATACTTTTAGGCGCAATATATAACTTCTTCTGGCGGGCGACATCTACGTCTAAAGTTTTTCTAATTGTTTGTCTGTGACACGATATCTACGACGAGGTTGATATCTAGACTAGGTTTGCCATAATAAATACCTTTGCTATATTTATAGTATAAATGGTGGTCTGGACACACAACATTGCAAGTTGATAAAAGCGTTGCACAAAGTAGATAAATTGGCCCATAAATACGTTAGATATGTATATGACTTTTATTACTTTTCTTAAGTTTTAATTTTGCGAGTGCTTAACTTGGCGGGTGCACATTTGAGATAGGGCCTTTCTATATTGAGGTAACAATATCGAGCCCTAACCGCCAAAATAACGTAAGCGACATTTTTTTCAAAATTTTCTTTTTGATGCAGAAATATTTCTAGAGCATCAAGATGCATTTCTGCATCAAAAATAAAATTTTGAAAAATATGTTGCTTACGTTATTTTGGCGGTTAGGGCTCGATATGTATGTACATATCTAATGAGATTGAAAAAATTCTCTAGCAGAAAAATGAGAATTCAAAAAGCGTAACGTATTGTACATACATACATACATATGTATGTATGTGTACACAATATCATTTTAATACTTGTTTTAGTGCAAAAGCTTAGTAAGGTTCTTAATTATTTTT